TGGAAACAGACTTAGCTAGAATTAGTTCAGGACATCGGGGATGAGCTCACCCATTTTCCGCGAAAGTATAGCAGAGCGTTAGACTTAGTTAGTGGATCGGCATTGCGCTTTTGCTGTCATTTTACAATGCAAGCTAAAAGCTGCACATTCCAGCAAATACTCACTTCATGGCGAGAAATTCGCGTGGTATACTGTCGATGTTCACAGCCGAACAAGCACCACCTCCCCTAATTGCCAGCAACATGTATGGTGTGTCACCATGGGCTACGTATCTTCTTCTCCTTGTCGAAAGCAAGAGTTATCCAGTGTTCTACCAGCACTTATACGAAACTCTGGTGAAGAAAGACAAACTACTGTAGAACAGGCAGCAAAGGTAAGCAAGGTACCTTTTTCTTTTGAATTTGTGGAAATTGAAAATCCGTGTATTCAGAAAGCAGCGTCCAAGTCGTCTCTACTGTTACCTTTATCCGAGGATCGCTGTGTACCGATGGGCTGATTTTGTTACAGTTTGCTCAAATAGCACGGTTTTTCCACTAGCTCTGCAACGCCTGGCTACAGAGGCGTATCGGTTGAAGACTGTGAATGGGTAAGGGTAAATCCTCTTGTTTCTCACGATAAGACTTTATCTTGGATATCATAGTGATTCGGAATAAAAGCTCTTGAATACCAGTTATCAAGAGCAACTTCAGGAGGAAGTACAGTTTTGCGCGTCCGTTTCCTAGACTCTACGGCTGCTGAGTCGGTGCTTACCTCCTGCAGAAAAGTGCTTACCGAAGTGCATGATCCAAAAGGGTAAAGTGTTAAGACAACAGGCTTGTTTCCGTCAATCCTTGCCCAGGCACGGCAAAATATTGTTTTTTTTTTCAAATAAAACCTATAAAAAGACGGAAGGGTGATAATTTTGTAGGTTCTCACCCAGTTAAAATTAGGGGAGAATAGATGATTCCGCTCATTTTATCTGTCAAGTAGTGCTTACTTCCAGCAATCAGCTGGCCATAAAAATAGAACATTATTTCGTGCCAATTGTCATTCTTGGGAACTGCCATTTTACATTGGACTGAATTATGAATTCTTTGAAAAGGCACACCTAAAGCAGTGTGAACATTGATTGATGTTAAACCATTGTTTTCTTTATCTATCCGCAGGTGAGCATCCGTTCAACTCAAATTTTGGCGGTTGTTGATGGGGTTAAACCCAAAAGGGAGGGCGTGAAATAGAACGTTTCACAACAGTGCTGTGTTATTGTCACTGCTTTATCGAAATACGGCGCATGAGCGTATAATGACTACTTAATTTGTGTTGGGATCTTTCAGTCTCGCAAAAGCAGTGAATGGCTGGCTGTTCTGCTCCCACGAAGTCACACGGAAGGGTTTTGATTTTTCGGTGTTTGATCTAGACTACCTCCTACAACTCATTCTAGCTGATGACAAGGTTTGAGTTCAATGTTCATCAAGCGTAACTGAGTCCTTGATTGATTTATTTTAAGAACATTTGGCTGGATTTTGTTGATACTAGCAAGTTGACGCAAGAGGAACAACAAGAGGAAAGGGTAACACCACCTCATTCATTTCATTTTCTGACACTTTTATGCTTTCACTGCTCTTTCATCGTTAAAAACTGTTTCAAGCTAACTTTTTATTTAGCTATTTTCGCTTACTTGCCATCTGGGACCAAGAGATCCTTCTCAGCATGTGTCTGACCATTTCTTGAATAAGTGAGTTTTTTATACAGAAAGTTTTATGTATCATATTTTTGTGGACTTCCCATGGCAGAAGGCTGATCACGTCATGCAGTCGAAATTCGGATTTTCTATTGCTTTTCTTTTTCAAAATTCTTTTTATTCTATGTTCCTTTATGAGTGATCTCCTGATTTTGTTGTTTTGCTCTCCTCTCTCTCTTCTCTCTCTCATCCATGATCTCCCGAATTGTCTTCTATGCGACGTGATCTTTGTTTACGGCTGTCTTTTCACAATAGCTGTTTGTCTCAGTTTTCATCAACTGCTTCCCTTTTCTACATTTTTTGTTCGACGTTAATATGGGAGTCTTTTTTCAATTCAAATGTTTGGCTCACAGTGAATAATGAAATGTCATGTTCGCAGGCCGCGCAATTCGAGAGCGATCGGGTTTCCAGTACTTCCTGCTCACCGTTCTTTACCTCCTCCACCAGTTGTAGATATGAGTGCATTATTCCATGTGAATACTGTAATGGAAATGATAAACCCACTCATCAAACACATTCGTACAATATCAGAGTAAGTTTGGCGTTATCGGCAATGCATGTTTATATAAGGCGATCAAAGGAAGCGGTCACAAAAATCCCGTGTCGATGAAATAGGAATGTAATAGAACTGATACTTGGTGCTGCGGTGGAAGGAAATTAGAAAAACTGTCGAGGCTCGTAGATTAGAGCTTTTTCTGTCCTTTGATTTCGAGTGGATGAGTTTACGGCTGAGGGTATGGCGTTTTTGGTGGAGTTAACCCTTTACCACGAAGACAGGTAACAAGTGATGCGATACGACTATGTTAAGTAGTCCTAAATAAGCCTCCCGTGGGAGCTGAGGCCATTTCGGAGGTGGGGGCTGCTTCTCCGAAGCACCTATCGCGATCTGACTGTTTTATCATGACCACTATCTTTGATGCGCTTGCTACTTTGTATTTATGTCGAAAGTAAGTAAAAGTACTGATTATGGATTTGAAGAGCTTTCATTTCAGTGACTACGTGGTTGGCGGCGAAAATATGGCTAGTGAAGATGTCAAATACGTCGAACTTGTAACGAAACTCCATACCGCCGTGATGCAACAAGTACCAGTACAGTTGCGGTGTGGGATTCGTTGTGCAAATCCGTACAACACTGCCGTGCAGGTCTGTGTGATTGTTTGTTGTGGTAAGGCTACCATCTGGTTGGGATGGAATAAGAGTCACCCCTCATCAAAACTCTCCCGATATCATTTGCACTGGAGCTTTTGTTCGCGATGTGTTTGGAATTGCAGGTCACCACTACGAAATTTAATGAGGCCACTGACGCCCAGATGGCTCAGAGTCGTGAGAAACGGAGTGCCATACTTGGCGAGTTGCATACAGGCAGGAGTGCTAGATCGTGCCGCAATAGCATCGGCGACAATGGAGCACATAGCAAGGTTACTCGTTTTCCAGAATTAATGATTAGTTGCTTCTAACTAGAAAGGCTGGATCCGTAGATCTTCACATTCTACTTTAGGCAGCTAGTTCGGCTGAGCGTTTCTCTTCTCCCATCGAGCGGGCAGATGAATGAATAGGCTATCTGAGGACTGTGAGCATCTTCTCAGGGAGTGAAATGGCTATTGCTGCAGCTTCGGCGGTTACGGAAGACATACATTACGGAAGTGCTTGGCTGGAGTCAGTGATTGTATGAAATTTCATTCACGAAAAATGTTTAGATTGTTGAACATGCGCTAATTTAACTCACAGGTGTTACGTTATTGTCGTCGCGTGTAGATCGCGCGCGTGCAACGCCCCCCCCGTTCAAGTTGACGTGTCAGACTTGCGCTTGGAGCGATTTTTGCATAAAATTAAGCCACAAATGGCAGCAGCGCGGGATTTACACCGCCGACCACCGATAATTCGGCGCCATCAGCTCGTAAATCTCCCGTCGCTCGCAGCTCCCTGCCACAACGGCCAAGGAGGCACATCACGGCCCGAGCGATGGATCGCTTGAGCGATCCGTCGCTCCAAAGTGCGAGCGACGGGAGATTTACGAGCTGATGGCGCGATTTCGTATAACTTCGTCGCTCGCACGACGAATTGCTCAAGCGATCGCGTCTGCAATTGTGGCAAATCGCTCCAATCGCAAAGTCTGACATCGACCATTCCATTACAAACTAATGAAGCTTATTCTATGCATAAGCGAAATTTGCGTTTGCTGTTTGCAGTGTTTGCTAATTTCAGGAATTTGTGCGTATGCAGCCTCAGGAGCGATTCCCGTTATGATTATGGTTTTGGAAGGATTTGCCTTGTGTGATCCCTTGGTGGAGGTAACAGAAAATTCAAAACCCTCTGCCTCTTTGAGTGTTTATACATCTTGCAATATTTTAGGCCTTCACTCCAGAGTGTCTGTCGTCCACAGAACTCTGTTCTGCATACACCCGGCTGTCTGAAGCTGTTCGAGATCCCGAGAGAAGTTCGAGGGCGTTGAAGCTATTGAGTAAGCTACAATTCAAAAGTTCTGTAGAAACGGCCGCTTATTTCACTAGAGAGCTGTTGAGATGAGACTGAGAATTTTCCAGGGCGGCTTGGTATGGATAAGGCAGCTGCATCCCTACCTCCTCAACATGCCTCTGGGTTGCTCCATTTGCTACACTGGCTTCAGAATCTTGCAGCCGAGCCAGACTCAAAATAGCTCCTTGCATATATCTGTATTGAAATTGGTACGTTTCGTGTTTATGGTCGCATTGCCGAAACTTCTTGCCGGCTGTGGATATGGCCTGAAGGTAGATTATATTTCACGCATATTTGCAGAAGAGTCGCGCTTCTAAGAGCATTTTAGGTTGCGAAGCTGCGACACGGCCAGCTGTGCTCTTCTAACTTTTTGTGGATCGATTAGGTGCAGAAAATTATGAGACGCAAAAACCGGATTTCTTTTTGAATGGGCAGAAGGTAAGAAAAAGTAAATGCATTTACCAAATATGCAAGGAAACTTTTTCGCTTTGGACAAATGTATAGGGTCTTTGAACAGATGAAGGTGTCCACGCGGTGGAGGTAATTCCCTGTGATGTATCATTTGTTACATCACTCCACTTCGCGACTGTCCCGCAGGTTTCAAATACCGAATTTTTCCGAAAATGGAGGTGTCGTTATTTTAGCACTTTGGGCTACGTTTTTACAAGGAAGGGATAGGTCGAAGTGGCCGTATAAAATGAGATGTAATACCCTGATGCTGTCTCTCCGAGCTGATTTCAATGCTGGCCTTGCCGAATTGCTAACACGGAGTTATGAACGAATAGCTCTTGGGGGCGGAAGTGGTGCAGTGACAAGTGGCGCGCTCACCACGCGAGCGGTCCGGGATCAAATCCTGGGTCGTGAGTCGCCCGGGCCAACCAAGCCTTCCATCCCTCCGGGGTCGGTTAATTGGTACCAGACTTGTCTGGGAGGATAAAAAAACACTGACTTGAACATCGGCTGGCCGCAAGGTCATTGTATAGGCCACATCGCATTCAAATGCCACTGCGAATGTAAAAATGGAAGTAGAATGCGTGCCGCATCCCAAAACGGGATTGATCAACGGCAGATGCTTTATCCTTTATCCTTATAATAGCTCAGTGGTGATGGTCCGGGTGGCAGGTAAAAGCTCGTAGGATCGGTTCCTTTGCAAGTTGGTTGCTTTGCTTTTGTCTCTAGAAGTGTTGCGGACAAAAGCAAAGCAACAAACTTGCAAAGGAACCGATCCTACGAGCTTTTACCTGCCACCCCGGACCATCACCACTGAGCTATTACGCTTCATAACTCCGTTCGGAGAGCCGTTTAGCAGATTTGGAAGGCAGATTTGGAATCAGCGTCTGGAGACGCATCAGGAGGTATACATTTCATTTCAAACGGCCACTTCGACCTACCATCCTTCCCTTGTAAAACAGTTGTGCGTCGGAGAGCGTTCAATGAGACCGCTTAAA